AGAGGATCACATATTTGAGTTTTCAGGTTCAGATTTTGTTTATATATTATTTTCCCCTATTTTTTTTTCAATTGAAGGTGGCAAAGGATTGTGATGCATTGTAGCATAAAGGTACAAATATATAAATAAACAAAGGAGAACCCTGTGATCATGGCATCCTTCTGTAAACAAATAATTGAAGTCTCTGGGCTCCAGTCCCCCCCTCACAGGTTGTGACTCAAATGGAGAGCCCACTTTTAAGCTTCACTTGGGTGCATTGTTCCTTTTCATCTCTCTTACCTGTTCCCCTGGTTGCATTCCTCAAAGTCTATTGTATTTTCCTTAGGGGGGCAGCTGTTGTTCAGGAACAACACCACTACTAATAACAAAAGAAGGGGAAGAGCTGGAGTATAGGATTTAATTGCCTGACCAGAATGTCATGGCAGGCAGATTGTTGCACTACTTAGAATAAGTGCCCAATCAGCAGATATAAAATAATAAAAGTAAAAATGTTTAACTGGTTATATATATAGACAGTGAATATCTAGGGGCTATATTTCAAGCCTTGAGATTTGGATAGAGAATATGGACCTTTCAGGGGGGAGAAAACTTTTTAAAAATAGATTTTTCTTCACTTGTGACTTCCAGTTTGTTTAATATATTTCACCCTTTTGTAAATTTCTTAAACTATTTTTTTCTGCTTGTGAGTGTGTTTTTCAATCAATTACATGGTTTTAGCAAGCAAAGTTTGCCATACTCTGTGAGTTTGCTCTACATGGTCCTTTCTCTCCATGCAAGTCTTGCCCATATTTCTTTGCCAAATTTCAAATACTGTTATATACCTTGGAATCTGTTGCTGATTCTTAAGTAGTTGTTCTCATGCAATGTTGGTCTAAAAGACACTTTGTTGTATCCTTGACTAATTGTGTTTGTTTAACTATGAATCTTAAAAAGTAATTAGGTTTAATTGACCAGTCATAAATATTTGAACAGCTATTTTATAAATAAATAAGTAAGAGAAAATTTTAGTTCAAAGAATTTAAACCTGTGTTGAAAACTTACTAGTTTGTGATATTCTAAGATATTTTAGTCATAGAATTTATTTCTTTCCTACTCAAAGAAAATTCCTTGTTTAGTAATAAGAAATCTTTATCATTTCAGATTCAGTTTTATGAAACACTATAGTCTTAGCTTTTTTAATACTTGTTATTTGAAGTGATTATTAACTACTAAAGAATGAATTTCTCATCTATAAGATATATTCGATATGCTTCTTTTCTTTTTTTAATTGATCCATTTCTATTTAGGTTTTTTTTTATCCATTATGGTTTAAATAATTGTAAACACCACCCTGATTATTTTTTAAATGGGGATTAAACTTAAAATAACCATTCTAAATAAAGATGATATCAATTACAATATCCATATTTTTTTTTAACTTATCTATATTGGCTAAAAGTTGAATGATTTTTAGTTCATATGCATTCTAAGTCTATAAAAAAAATTATATAAAATAAATTTGGATCCAATTTTTTAAAAAATAATAATCTGAGATAAAATATGGAGACAATAGATTTTTTTTTTTAAATTTTTTATACCTATTGAAATTGGAAATTTTGGAAAAAGAACTCTACTTATACTTACTATGATTTTGCTCCATTAAAGAATAGTTAATTAATTTTATAAATGTTGGTCTAGAACATAATGTCTCTCTGGCTTCAAAAATAAAATTTCAATTGATGCAATCATAAGCTTTAATAAATTATAATTGAAATATTTCAAAATTTTAGTTTCTTTAGATTTAACAATATTCAAATCATAATTTTATTTATTTATTTATTTATTTATTTTCTTTTCGTGTTTATTTGTGGTTTGTACTTATTTGGTTCTATAATTTGGATAAGTTGTAAACAAATAAATTTTGACCACTTCCATTTTAATGTAGAGGTTATTAAATAAATATACTTACTACCCATACATAAATCAGTAGTTTATTTTTTCTAATGTTTGTTGGATTTTATTTATTTATTTTTTAATACCCTTCGACTTATTAGTAATGACTTTTAGAAATGAAGCCATCTTTATCTATATTACATTTTTTTTCTTGTTATTTTTCTTCTTCTTGTGTGTCTTCCTTGATTATCATATAAGTTAGATTGTTGAGTTGCACAAAATATTAAAAATATTAATCACTATATATATATATATATATATATATATATATAAACATAATTATTGTTCTACTTGTCATATATTTGATTATTCAAATTGAGAGTTCTAATTGTTTCTTTGAGGCCATTAATAAGCTCAATTTTGAATTTAAGATATTTTAATAGGATTTCAATGATATTTGCAATTGCTTTGAATTTTATCCTAAATTCGTTTAACAAATTCCTTAGAGTAATCCAAATTAGATTTTTTATTTGTTTTTGCATTGGTAAAAAAAAAAAAAAAAAAAAAAAAAAACTGATCAATTTTTTATATTTATTCTGAAATTGTGCAAACTCTTTACTGAAATTTGTACGCATTAACAGTTAAACTTTTTGGGTGATTTTTTTATAAGCTTGATGTCTCTAAGTTCATTTCAGAATCTTTGCTATCTATTGCAATGTAGATCACAATATTCCTCCTTTGCCACGGCTCTTATTTTGTAGTCTTTCTGTTCTTTTTTTAGCTATTGGGTGTTGACACATTTTTTTTGTCCCTGCCATACACAATGGGTGACTAGACTCCATTTTTGATGAGACAATTTTCAAAACCCTAATTCTGAAAGCCCTAACTTTCACAGCTCTGGAAAAAAAACTCTGATTTGTACTTAGATCACATGAAACAAAAAACCTTGTGATTCCTTTGGTTAAGGATCAAAGGTATACAATACAAATTCTACAATTTTGCTGAAAAAACTAGTGAGGATTAAGAACAAAGTAAGATAATTTGAAAAAATATATATATATATATATATATATATATATTTATTCACACATATTCACACACACATGCATACAAATATATCTGCACAATTTTTTGTGTGTGATTTAAGGCACAATCAGTGGAAGTTTATATTTATTTTATTTTCTTGTTTATGATAAATATAGCATCTGTGTTTTCAAAGTGTTTTAATTTTTTTTTGTTATATATAATTTTCTTTTGAAAAGTAAAAATCTTTTATGCATAATTGAAATGGAGGATGCACACCATCCAAGAATGGGCTTTCAAAGTGGTAGGAAAAGGTCCTTGACTTTGCATACTATGATGAATTGCAAGGAGATTCTTCCACAACATAATGAACAGGAATTTATCATTGCTGATATAAATTGATTACTTGATCTTTTTGAATTAAAAATTAAAAAATTAAAAATGAATTTCATTCATGACAATTGAGCGAAAGTTTTTCCTTTCTTCATGTTGCTTTCTTTGATTTTTTTGTTATTTTTATTTACTCATTTATTGATAATCCAGGTTTTTTCACATGTATGGATTGAGAAGAGTGGAGTAAAGTAAAACAGTATCAGAATATCAGATGCAGACTAAGAGTCCCTAAAACACCAAAAACAGAGCATTCAAACTTTGTGACCTTTTATCTGTTTCAGTTAATGCGCACACACACACACACACACTTATATATCATGAACCTGATTACATATGTGCAGGGAAAAGAATAGATGGAGAAGTAAAAAAAAGAAGCAAGGAAGTGAGAATGGGATGTATATGGAAGTGTTTTGACAGAGTGGCAATCATGGTCAATGGGTGCAAGTCTAAGTCCCTGCCAGCAACTTAGTTCCGCACCCTCCCATCAAACCACCCATGGATATAATAGAAATAGTACAACTGAAAAGGATAAACAAAATTCTAGTTGCATGTATGTGTGCCAAAAAGGGTTTTGTATGGGGGAGCCTGGGGAAGGAATAAGGAAAGAAAACAAAGAAGAAGAACAAAAAACCCATGGTAGTCCATAAAAAAAAAATATAACAACAACAATAATACTAACAATAGTTTATATATACCTCCCAATAAGAGAGTAAGCTACTATATTATGTCCTGCACAAAGCTCCAGGCAGGGCTGATTTTAATGGGCTACGCTGCCTAGTCACTACCCTCCAAGTGGCAAGAACATGGCCCAATTGCCACAGTGGACCCAATCCCTGCTGGCCTATGGAGGACCCCACTTTCAGTATCGCCCCCAATAATATTCTGCCACATGGTTATCCAATTTGTGCCATTGACAAATCAGTCTTTGTCCACAAATTCAATTGAAAATGGCTCAAGTATTTATTTATTTATTTATCTAATTTTGGAAAATTCAATCACTTAAGCCAGAAATGAAACAACAGAAGACTAATCATGAATTGTAGAACTTCAACAAAATGTTACCCTTCCTACTTTCCCTTCTTTCCTTGTTTTTTTAAACTATGTACATTTAGTTATTTTGATAATTATACATTTGACATGATGGATTCCCACACATATTCTCTAAAGAAGTTGTGGGGTAGCCTCACAAGGTGACTCTCAGGATCTTCCCACTATGATGCAACCACTACTACTACCACCACGATGACTACTTCTACTAGGACTACTACTACTGATGATGATGCTCCACTTCCACCTTTGCCAGCATCTCTGCACTGCCTGCAGACAAAGCCTGTGGCATGGACATGATGAATGAAGCCCTGAGCAGGATTAAGTGGCCATGACATGACTCATTGTAATTGTGTATACAGGTAGAGCACCTGAGACCAAGTCTGCAGCAGCCCCTTGCTGCCAGTACTTCAAAGCCAATCTCACATACTCATCTCCTTATTTGTTCTCCTCATTGTCTACTTGTAGCCGCATCTATTACAAAGAATACAAGGGGAAGGGAGCAGAAGCAGGAGGGGGAGGCACTTAAACTTGGTGGGCTTTATTCTTGCTGACTGGGCAGCTGACTTTACTTAAGTCATGTGTTGGAAGTGCCCATCAGTGGCACTGCAGGGGGGGGGGGGTGTTTGCATTGATGCTGTTGTGAGTTTGGCTCTTGACTCAGGTTGCCAGGTTGTGGAGGATACTTGAAGGATCACCATCATGGATATAGCTTGGTTGCTTTTGAACTGTGATGAGAGAGAGAGCTAGGCTAGGCTGCTTGTGGAGGGTGAAGGACTTGCCCTGTTGGTGTTATTAGCTGCTGAGATGTTGATGATGGCCTGAATAAAGATGTGGGTTAGCTGCAAGAATAATGGGTACAAAAGCCCCAAAAAGAAGGGAAGGAAGAATAAAAAGAAGAGGCAGTGATAATGAAAGAAGGGCAGTGGTTGAAGCCATTTTTTTAAAAAACGAAAAATTCCTCTAGTCCATCGGTCACCAATGATTTTATCCATCAGCTTGTTTCGCCAGTAGCCTCCAAAACAAAGGAATATTCTCTACTTCCGGTTGGGAAAGATGGAATGGTATTGCACTGTAGAAGTGAGCCACGAATGCTGCCGTGATCAAACACGAGGAAACATGGCTTCCTTATTCCGGTGTAACTTCGTCAATCATGCTGTTGGATGGAAAGACGATCGGATGGGGTACCCAAGCATGGTGTACCAATGTTTCGGATCAATCCTGGTAAAATTATTCCGCTGAAACCAGTGAAAGAAAGAAGCAGAGATGGAGGAGTAGAAGACGAAGAAGAAGAAGGGTGGGTGTAGAGAGTACTGTAGACAGGGGCTGCGCGCAGACAGACAGTGAGACAGACAGTTCGCAGAGGCTGTTGAGGGGATGGATGGAGGGAGGGAGGGGGAAACAGCGTTGCTAGGCATCGAGTACCATGAGGACTCAGTTTCATAGCTCATAAGTGACGACTGTGAATCTGGAAGAGAACTTAGCTAGCTCCCTTGTCCCTGCATCCCAGCTGTCCCTCCTCCCCCCCCTCGTCCCTCACTCTCCTGTCCTCTCTCCCTCCCTCCCTCACCCCTCTCTCTCATCAACATGCCAGAATCATAAGCATGCATTCTCGTACGCTGGTCTGATGAGCTTGAGCTTTGAGTACAAGACAAGAGGTCTATGATTGCGAGTAGACAATTTCGACCTGGATGCACCCACAGGGTGCAGTATTGTATGTGTAGAGGAGGCTTGAGCGTGGAGGACGTAGAGAGCTGCAGGTTGTATCTCGATGTTGATGTTGCGAAGATCAATGAGATGCTGAGCTGAGGTAGGTTGCTTGTGATGGAGTGGTGGGTCGTGGGTCTATAACTTCCCTCATGAGATGCTGTCGGGTATTGGGTTTCTGTGGACTTGATTGGTTGAGTGAGCAACCGTGGGATGATGCCAAGAGTGGATTTCGTTGTTTCAGTGAGAGTGAGCGATAACAACGTATTGGCAGAATTTGTCCCACTGGAGGTTGCTGCTCTTAGCTTTCGGAACACAATGCGCTCGTGTTCGACATGGCCCTGCGCTGGGTGGTCACTGTAGTGTCATCTGGTGTGCCGAGCTGAAGCTTCTTCCTGTGCTCCTTCACATCGGTAATTGGTTTGTATCCACACAATTGCCTCGTTACAGTAGAACCAAGATTCTGAAAGGTTTGATAGACGACGCGGCGTGGGCGGACCGCTCCTCTGGCACAAGATGCAGAAGAAGCGTTTCATGTCAGAGTAGCGCTTACTGAGATAGGGGTAGAAGCGCGATTGTATGCTGGCTGTAAGAGGCTGTGCATTCTGCTCGATCAGCTGTTAGGGTCAGGTATCAGGAGTCCAACAGTAGGAAGAGATTGAAGCGAGACGTTTGGTCGGGGACGATTACTCAAGCGCGGGACATTATCGGTTGGATCAGATATTTATTTCTGGAGCATACTGCACTCATTCAGACACCCCGCTGCAGCAAAGGGTGAATTCTCTGCGAGAATCCTTTCTCACGTTGAAGAGCTCTGTGAGTGGATAATCGATCACATGGTTTTTTTTTTTTTTTTTTTTTTTTTTTTGCAAAGTAGCAGGTAACGAAGTGATTATTCTGCGATTTTAACCTGCAGACTTGCAATATGTTGAAGGAGTGCGCTGCGCTGCGACGCGTATGCGTAGATGTAGACGGCTGACCATTCTCAATAAGCTGAAGAAAGTTTTTCGATATCAGAGTAAAGGATATAATCCGGACACCTAGTGCGGTTCGTCGCAATGCCAGTGTCAGCAGACCTTCTCAAAGCCTTGGCAGAAGACCCCAAGGCACTGGAACAGCAACTCGGCTGTACGACAGGACTGTTCCAGATCTTTGATCGCCAAGGCCTTGGTCGCCGCTATGGATCTAAGCGCGTCAGCAATGCTGCCAGTGGTATGCGCTCAATCGCCATCATCAATCAATGTTTTTGCTTACCTACAGCGAGCTGGTATTCCCAAGTTTTGTCCACCACGAAAAATTCAATGAAACTCAATTCGGTCACAAATTTGATATGTTGAATTTTTGGTGTGTGTATGATAGGGCAATCACAACCTACATCAGCCTGCGAGACGCCCCGCCATGACCGCAGCAACAATCCATATTGGATGGTGAGCAACGTTATCCATATCGAAGCTACTGTGACATTACTCTGTTTTATTTGATATTTTATTGGTTTCATTGAGAATCTGTTTGTTTTGCAGTTTGAGGATGACTCGTCGCAGAGAATTTCTGCCGACAGCTTCGACCGCCCTAAAGACTCCACAGCCGAAAGCACACGAGCTCACCACCACCACAGGGCCTACTCTGACAGCAGCGAGGTATTTACCAAATCCTGCGAGACGCGGACCGAGAGCAGAACCTCCCCTGATGAGAAATCCCAGGTCGACAACTCCCCGATGTATTCCGAGGGGAGCGTGGGCGGATTAGCATTCTACTTCAACGATCAAGCGTTGGAGAGCACCGTGAACTCTGCCACTTCAAATTACCCCAACTATGATCTCACCACCGAGTGCAAGAAGCTCAATGTTATGATTCCATCTCGTGCAGATTCCGAGCCGAAAGCCAACGGCTCCAACATTCGTGACATAGTTCGCGCCTCCCTTAACCGAGATAATCGGGCTCGTAGGGGTTTAGTGAGCTCCAGAGAACTACCGCGGTTGTCCGTGGATGAGCGTTACAGCCAGGGGTGTGTGAAAAATTTACCAAGGTCTTCTTCTGTGGACGGTAAAGATAGGATGAGGTTGTCAGTGGACGGAAGATTAGACCCTGGAGGAGCTCGACCAAAACCAGCCGATTTGCCACGATCTTCTTCCGTCGGTGGGCTAGGGACTGTGCGGGTGCTAGCTGATTGGAAGGATGGGCTTCGAAGCTCGGGAGGGTCGCCGAGGCTGACCGTCAAGGAGAAGGATTCACTCAAGCATCAGAACTCGGAGGTGCTTCCAAGGAATTCTGTTTCGAATACCGCGACTGATGGGCGTGACGCAACCCGATTGACAGTCGAATTGAAAGAAGGCCCTCGGTTGTCTCTGTCAGGAGACGATCGGCGAGCGTCTGGGAATGGAAAAGTGTTAGTATCCCCGAGGCCGATTCGACGCTGCAGAGAAACGAGTGACCTTCCATCGATAACTCCAGATTTCAAGGATTCTATCCGCGCTGCAGAAATCAAGGAGTTTCTACGAGCCCCTCAGAAAATTGGGTCTAAAGAGGGCCATCGATTCTCCGTGGATGGTACTCGAGACGCGCCTCGCGCATGCACTGCCCCACGATTATCTGTTGATGGCCGTGATTCTGCAAATTCGAGCACACTGGTGCTGCGCAAGCTGAAACTGGGCGAACTCGATCGATCGGAGCTGGAGGACACTAACGAAAACGCGCAGTTCAATCGACAATCGTCTGGAAGGAGAAATTTGGACGGTGGTACCCGTCCGAAGGCATCAAATGTGGTTGCGCGGTTGATGGGATTAGATGAGCTGCCGAGGGCTAAAGAGCTGCCTGTGGGAGTTAAAGATGCCTCAAGGAGAAGCGCTAAGACGGAGACTGATCTCCTAGCCAATAAGTTTTCGCGGTGCCACCCATTGAATGGTGGATCTCCACCTCCCCCGCCATCTCCTTCAGACGACTACGATTATGCGCACCACTCCTCTGACCACGAACATTTTCAAGGTCATAGTCGGAGTAAAGCTGCTGCTGGCCATCATGGTTTGAGGCCTGTAGAAGATCCTTATTCGCAGAGACAACCTCCTCTCTCAAATTCCAAGCACCAATACTTTGAGCAAGAATCTCCGAATGTCCAACTCCAGATCATCACTACACCCTTGAACATGAGGACTTCAGAAGATCATGCTGCACTCGATTCCAGGCAGTCGGTTGAGACGGACAAGTATGATTCCAAACCGCGAGATGATGAGTTGGATCTCAAGGAGCCACGCCAGGTGCGTAAGTCTCCTCAAGGAAGGAGATCACTGTGGCATATCTTCGAAGCCATGCAGCTCAAGAGAGTATTTCATACCTCTTCTCGTCGGAAGAATGCGGAAGCTTTGAAGTTACAAAGTCTGGAGGTGACAGGGGAGAAAGAGTGCCAGGTGACGAGGGCTCGATCTCAGTGCGTTCCTCCAGTTCTCTCAGCCTCAAATTATCTGGATTACCAAGATACTCCAAGGGCCAGCCTTGTTAGTACGACTCCTAGACCGCCGGAGCAGAAGAGATCTATCCATGGGCAAGGCCAGAAAGCTGGTGTATCAGAAGCAGATGAGGAGTCACCCGTGGTAGTGAAGCCCATTATCACGAGGGCCGTGTCATACAAATCGCAGGCTCCACCTTTAGCAGCTCCATATCAACCATGCGCAATGGCGTACAGTAAGACGGATAAAGGAACATATAATCCTGACGAAGAAATTTCGCCCCGAAACATCTGCAGGTAATACCAGAATTCAACTCTCTTTTTTGACCACATGTAAGCCTCTACAGGAAACTCCATTTTGTGTTTCATAATCCATTCGTGTGATCTGCTCTGACATGGCTATGTTTCCTCACTTAGCAATTTGATCGAGAATGCCCACAATCACAAGGCCACTGTCAACGAGTTGTTTCCGAAAGCTCAGCCGCAGGAGTCCTCGAAGGTTACAGATCCTTCAAATAGCAGTCCTAGTCTTCGGCAGGCTAAGAAGGAGCGCAGCGCAGCTCGCATGTCGAAGTCGCTTTTGGATGCCCAACAAAGTGGGCGAGATTCGTCTAGTCCCAGGGGTCCTCGAGCTACCACATCGACCCAGGAGAAGCCAGCTCGGCCATGCTCTCAACCTGACTTGGCGACCTCGGTATCTCCTAGATGCTCCATTGGCAGACTGGAACACGTGAACCGCCCGGTGGATGCTGGTAATGGGCGGAGGAAAGCTTTTGCTGTGAAAGAGGTAGAGACCAAAGCTTCCCTTGCGAACTTGAGGGCGAATGCTACGAAGCAAGAGTTTCTCAAGGGGAGGGCGAGTGGTGATCCGGATACCCCGAGACCACTGCGTCGAAGCAGCTCGGAAAGCAAGCTTTTTACCAAAATTGCTCAGAAGGCCACCACTGCTGAAATTCCAGCTCCGACATCATCTGGTGGAAAAACACCTTCCAACATGCGTTTCAGATCGAAGAGGCTGGTTTCTAAAGATAACAAGTCATCTGTGAAGAATGGTCCCACATGTCTTGATGTGAACGTAAAAATTTCGTCGGCAAAAGATGATTTGGTGCTGGCATCGCGTGTTATTAGAGTTCCGTCTGTTTGTGACAGTGTCGCAGATACAGAAACCTCTTCACAAGAACAGAAGACTAGTGTTCCTCTTGCAAGAAGCTCGTTGCCGGAGACAGTGCGTGCCACACAAGGTGGAGCATTAGACCATAGTGGGGATACAACTAACGCAAATGCAAGGCTACACAGAATGGAGTCCAAGGTAAACCCTTCATTCAAAAGTAGCTGCAAAACAAAAAAAATCCACAGATGCAACGAAACCTCAGATCACATTCACTGCTTGCGTGAGTTTCCTTTCGTAATGATGATGTTTGGTTTCATGTGCAGGCTAACGAGAAGGCAATGGACATCGACGAGGTAGTGAAAACACCTCATGGGGTTTCAACTAAGAAGATGGATTTCTTGGAAGATGTGCTAGCTGAAGTCGCTGACCAACCAAGTCCCGTCTCTGTGTTGGATAACTTTCATTTTGATGAGGAGCTAACGCCAAGTCCTAAAGCGGGAAAATCCAGTGTTGCCGGTCTCCAAGGTTGGCATTTCTCTGGGTGTATAGACTAGTAATTTTTTTCATTGTGAGCATTTTGTATGTTGACATTCTTGGCCTTGATGGCTGCGAACGTTTTCTTATATCCTGCATTCTTATTTTGTGTGCAGATCAACATGGTCCAAAGAAAGATAAACTCTGGAACACTGCACGATTTTTAGATCTTGATCTCGAGGAAGCATCCCCTGCAGCCTTGTTGAAAGCTCCAGACGATAGTGACACTCTCTCAGAAACGAAGGTTACACCCCCAGTGGATACTTATTCACAAGTTCAAGATAAGAGTATATCCATGCCAACTAAAGATTCGAAGCACCGAAACTGGCTTCGTATATGTCTCAGAGACGCAGGTGAAGAGAGAATGTATGTGAAGGATCTTTTGGAGACTTCCGAGGTTGCAAGAAGATGTGCTACTCCTAACTTCGTACGTAGCTCCACCGGCTATATTTTGGATTCGAACGTCTTCGATCAATTGGAAACAAAACGCAGATTTTCGGAGAGTGATGAGCAAGACATTTTGAACCGTCGCATTCTCTTCGAGAGTGTCAACGAGGTTCTAAAAAGGATATTGGAGACGCAATTGAGGTCAATGCAGTGGATGGGGTTCTTCAAGCCGAGCTTGACGAAGAGATCCACGGGGACGCAGTTACTGAAGGAAGTTTTGACCGAGTTGGGGGATCTTCCGTGTGCTGCTTTGGAGGATGATTATGACACTGTCCAGGTGATTTTGCGCCAAGATCTGGAGCGAGGCCGAGGGCTGCAGTGGTTCGATTATAACACAGAGCTTGAGAAGATCTGCGTTAGGGTGGAAAAGATGATCATGAAGGATCTTATTGGGGAGACAGTCAGGGAGTTGAACGCCTGTCGTTGGCAGAATCCTCTTGGAATAGCGGAGTCGAGTAGGAGACAACTGTTTGCCTAATAAATATATATATATATATATATATATATATATATATGTTGTATAGTTCACTACCTTGTACATTTGATGCTAAATTTATCATATTTAAGTCACTAGCACATCACTGCTATTTGATGAATTTACCGTCTTCATTTTGTTGAAACTTGTATCACTTGCAATCACATCATAGCAAAATGTTAAGTGCAGGTACTGTTCAACATCATTCTGGGCCATAGGCTTGAACCTTTTAAGGGTCAACCAGAATAAAACAGGAGTGCAGTTGAAACACAGCCAAAAAATGAGAGCGTTCATATGTTATTGTTACACCTAACTCAATATCCTTAGGATTGCACAAACACACGAACTCCAGAGTGGTCGATTATTTGTACTTTTACTGTACATACATGTTTTCCCATTCCAGGGCAAATCACTGAGAAATACAAGGTCCCTGGACGTTCTAGCCTCTCAGAAGAATAAAACTAGTCCCTAAACGAGAAAGCTTTTAAGATAGTATAATGTCAATGGGAGTTAACATGCACGGAATGAGGCAAATGTGGAGTGACGGAACAAGTGGGTACTTGATTCTCTAAAATTTATAGACGTGCTCCTTCTTGTAGCCAAGCTGCTTGAGTAGTCCAAGCACCTACATGAGAATTCCAGGCGTTAGAAATTTATTAACCCTAATACACTAAAATTGCAAGGTGATGGTTTCTATGACAGCATCATTTACTTACCTGGCCACTGTACCGTTCCTGGTCTTTCCTTCCACAAACACGGTCCATAAAGGTTGAAGGTCCGGCAACCTACAACATTCATGGGTGAGAGGCTTAAGTCAATCAAGTTGAAGGCCCTTTTAAATTAATTCGTTATTTCGTATTCTTCAATTCAGTCGCGTGACTTGAAAGAAAATTTGAGTGAATTCTTGAATATTGACTTCAAACATTTGTATCCCAGTTGAAAGTTTAAACAAGATCTAACATGCTAGTACGAGTTAGTAGGCTTTCAATTTCAACAAATTTAACACGATGTAGGTCCAGACTTCCACATGCATGGTTACCAGGACATTAACAATAAACTTCACCATCTGCAATTATAACAGACTTGGAATAAAACAATAAAGCTGAAGCATTGCATTAGAAGCATTTACCAGCACGAGAGTGTTAGGAGACGGATGTGGTAGTGCTTTGTAAATCATTTCTGCCGTGATGTGTCCCACACCGCCCTCCCATTCTCTACCCGCAATATTTACTGTATAAAACACCTTACACACACCAAACACAATCCATACGAAACCACAATAATTTAGAAAAGTTCATTAATCAACAAAACTCCAAACTCTGTTCCATGATCCACAATAAACGGGCCACAAAAGGTAAGTAAAGAATGAGACTTGTAAAAAATTATGAAATATTATACCTTAAAATTTGGATACGCTCGAGATAATTTATCCAGTTCCTCTTTCAACAGAATGTCTTCTGGAGATTCATTTTCATAGATAAGCGAGACCTGCTACACTTCCAAGAGACTTCTTGCGGATAAGCTTCAAGACATATCATATCATATAAAGGAAGTTTTTTCAATAAAGCACAGAAATAGTTATTATAGGTAAAACATAAATATATCACTGTAGCCCCACCTGAGTATAATCATTGGGATTTAACACGATGGCCTTGATCAACTGCACCATGTGGGTGATTCCAATATCACCAGCAATCTGCATACAATCTCCATTCGTTTCTATCAACCTTGAATTTAATTTCGAGGAAAAACTCCTTGTTTTCATTGCGTGTGAAAACATATCACTTCATGCTTATTAATATGCTTTATTCTCCATGCAGAAAAAATCTCATACTCTTGCCTGGAACCACGTGAAACCTTGATACTCCCAAATTTCAGTATTCACGTGTTTCATTAAATTTACCAACTAATCTCAACTCTAACCCATGTATACAAAGCTGACTCTGGAACTAAATCGCAAGCATGGCCAAAAGGTTACGAAAGGGCTTACCATACCCAAATGTGTTTTCATGTTGGCTTTGTAAGGCAGCTCTACGACCGGGCTACAAACATCAAAAGAAGAATGTGAAAAGCAGACTCTTATTCATAATTATAATGCAAAGTCCCTGCCCAAAAGATAGATTGGTCCTTCAATAGTTCTCTCTTGAATCTAACGAGCCAATGAACAGAAGTTGCAAATACTACGACAGACTAGTTTTCTGTAAGAGATTCAAGAGGCACAGAAGCCAAAATCTTACCCTCTCATTTCAAGTGAATCACCAGGATTCAGACGAGCAATTCGTTGACTCAACATACCATCGGGGAGGATCTACACACGAAATTGTAATTAAAAACCACAAAACGAAGAGTCTCACTAGCTATAATTAACATTTTTGTCGAGAATAATGAATTCAATAAGTCTTTCTAGTCCAATTAAAACTATCTAACTGAAAAGATCGCAATCCTAATGATGTGTACTAAAGTTTCTACTCAATAAAGGGCGGTCGCTTCGTCACTGTCAGTAAAACCCTCATTACACTCACCTTGATCAGTAAGTCAAAATATCCTGTCGCACCCAGGTCTGAAACCGGTACATATCTGGATGCAAAACCCCATATTTCGAACATTCTAAATTAGAGATCCAGCAATTCCTTATGAAAATTTACGCACAATACTAACCTCAAATCTCTTATCTACGGCACAAGGGAAATTAGTGGCTGTATACACACACAATGAACCATTATGAAGCACTATCTTAACACTAATATTATTTCTCAAAAATGTAAACCCTGCTTATAATATCGACTTAGATATCCTGCTGCAAAATGGGCTCTTTCTATAATGTTTCTAACCATAAGAACAGACAGACTTACGAGCGTGTTATTTTCTCTAGCCTTCCACGGCGATTAACGACCTCACCTCTGCAAAATAAACAAGCCATCAAAGATGAACTCCATTTGCCAGATCTCTGGGAATCTTATGAGAGTCACCACAAATTACCTGCATTTAGTGAAGCATAAACTTCAAAAGAAATTTTCGAAATTAGGCAAGATTAATATTCCCTACACACATCATATGAATCCTAAAAACAGGACATGGAACGAAAAAAAATGTAAAATTTTAAGGCTCTTGTGGAAAAGGTATACATTAGGCTAACCTCACGAGGATATGAGAAATCGGTTGAAGGCCCAGGCTCGCTTTTGGATCAAGCTCAAACCTAAAACAATTGATGACTCTTATTCATGCAGTAATTGCGAAGCTTCCAATCAAGAGTTTCAACTCGTCTTTGGCCTAGATTTATTTCAGTAATCAGATACCAAACGAACACGACTGCAAAGACTTCGCAAAAAAGACTATCCCTTTTGATACACATATAAGGCAATGATGAAGCCACCAGATAAGAGTCAAGACTGGCACCTGAAAATCCTCGTGTTATGTGCAACTCTGTGGCTCTCCAGCAACGTAAAATTCACCCAATTCTTCATATTTAATGCTACACACATAGAACAAACACATTCTAGGTCAGCTCAATATCATTCAAAGGCACTGTTCTCTATGCTTTTCCATTGACATGACAGTTAAGCCACGGGAGCATGAATGAAAGCCTGAAACGTTACAAGGGGGTAACACATACGAGTGCTTTTGGCTGCTTTTATTTCCGAAGACAATGAGCTTCCCTGAAAGCAAGAGAACAGCACAAAGTTATCAATTAGGAATAAACCACATCCACTACAGATGTCAAACTGGGAAAAAATCGTCCTATACATTTCTTCCGGATATGTCCAAACCGAAGCCGAGGGTTATCATAAGTTTCCTCATACATGTAATCCGAGATTCAAGTGATTTATCATTTCCTTATGATCATCCAACACAATCCACCTTCCTTCCAACATCCCATCCCTATTCCACCGACAAGTATCTTGTTATATAAATCCAATTAAATGTTCCACATGAACACACTCGACGCTGCGAATGGACAACACTTCTGAGGTGCGTTGTTTGTGAAAATTTAGAATGAATTGATTCTTCTTGTTCTTCGAGGATTCGGCGCTTACCCTATGATGTAAAGCTGGGTATAGCGCCGCAATACCCACGAGAACCAGAACAGCAGCAAATGCGAGCTCTCGGGTATTATCCGCGATTCCAGAAGTTTCACCTGCATCGCGATCAGGTCTTGATCCCGGGACAGGTCGCCGGTGCTTCTCAGGATTATACCGCTCACCATACACCGCATGCTTTCTGCTCCAACCCATCTCGCCTCCTTCACCTCCCGTCTAAGTAATCCCTAGCTGAAAATTAGATTGTAGGACCACACGTAATCAGCCCAACATAACATCGGAAAAGGGTCAAGGAACAGCCTTCTTCCACACTTTCTAGCATAGCGAACCGAGTCGGATTCTCTCACGACGATGGAATAAAACACCTTAAGTAACGAGAATCGAGATTTATAGATTCAGTTTGGAGTTGGCTCTAGAGTTCCAGCTCCGCGAATGCTTAGCGGAGCTTTGTATGAGATTATGTCGTCGTATGTTTACACGTGGTGCCACGTTCAGAGATTTGTGAAATGTGTACTGATTCGGTCAACTATGGGAAAAGTGCCCCCATCACCTAAACCAAACAGGTGCTACAAAGGTGGTGGGGGTATGACCAAAAGCTCCATGTGTAAAAATGAACTTAGAGTATGCAGTTGTGTCATTAGATGCTTTTCTGATCCATTTCCCACAGTTTTTGTCGATGTTGGAGGTAGTAACATAAGACGAATTTGCATAACACATGGCGCTGCTTTACTCGCACAGATATACGAAGCATTAACCAAATTTATCACACGTGGATGAAGGAATGATGTAGAAGGTAACGATTTGATTTTTTTAATGACATAACAGCTGGGTATGCGACGTGTCTAGCAGTGTATGCTTTGTTGCTCACCACTGTGATCCAAGTACTCCAGCGCCATGTTTTGCTTTTACGAATAAAAAACAGCGCGTTTCGAACTCAGGTGTTGCCCTGCAAATAGCTCAGTTTCGTGAGAAGAGATAGAATCGAATTGGGAACTTACTGATACTACACAACAATTTGAGAAGTGGGTGAGACCCTGCTACTTGATCAACCGCAACTGGAGCAGCAAGAGAGTGCACGCATCATGGACTACGTCAAGGATCATTGCAGCACCGGAGAGAGAGAGAGATTGACAGTCCTGGGCCGATGTAGTACTGGGCAGAGAGGGACGACATACCTGTTCATTTTTCTATCTGAGAGAATGTGCTAGACATGGTGCACTCGAAGAACGCTGATCGTCTACAAATCAACATCACCCAATGTACGAACTGTATGACTAGGGTAGCTTGGCATGCGAGGTTTGCATGAGTAGGTGATACTCCGAGGTGTCCTGCCCAAACAGACAATGTAAATAGGATCACATTTCGCTGTGTTGATCAACACAGCTCAGGAGTACACTGGCAGTAACTCCGGAGGAGCGTCCTAATACAGCCCTTCTCTTTGTGGGAGGGTCAACCTCGTATCGGATCTGTGAACGTCTGCTGAGATATCACCATAGAATTTCCGCTCTAGATGTCGCAGACGTTTGCTCAACGAGAACGTAGGAGAGAATGGAACCCACAGGATTAATTTTTGAATTTCTTATTTACAGAAAAAGTTTGACGAAGTTTACAGTGCAGTGTCAGAGGTATGACTAACTTTTACGTGCAATGTCATTGACAACATCTCTCAGCTTTATATACTCGTCACTGTTGTTATAAATTTGATGGGATATACGCACGTAAGCGGTGGTCCTCGTCCTTCCTTGAGACGCATCGTCAATATTGGCTGGCGCTAAACTTCCTGCATAGTACAGATGCACGTCCACCTGATACTCTTCTCGGATACGCCTTCGCAGAGCTAATAAATCCACCTTCAACAACAATACAGAGCAATTCACCTTAGTTTCTCGAATATCCTCAGCGTGACAATTGAATCTACACACTGGAACAGACATAGCAAGCTTGACCTTTAAGTATTCCAGCTACTTCAACCAAGATTTTGACGAATCCAAAAAACCTGGTAAATCTTGCTTTAAGGGATATCCTCGAACTTCAATCATCTTACCAAAACCTAACTAATGATAAGAAGCTAATTCTAATGAGTAGAATTGTATTTTGAGGGTTAAGATGATTACCTGCGAATGGATGTTCAAGGCAGGGGGCAGAGCAACCATAGCCATCGCCGCACACATCTCCGGTGGTGTGCCCAAGAATGTACCCCACGAACTCGCGAGCATCTCCGCCATTGCTACAACCTTGCAGTGATTAAATTTGCTATAGTTCTCGATACTACCAGCTACGTCAATCACAAACTTAATTGCTGCTGGAACTGCGAGAAGAGGGCTGTAATCCCGGGTGCCTAACCACGAGCATTCAGCCGCAATTCCAACACCATACAAATGTGAGACAATCGGGTGATGCAGCCGACCAAGGTGCTTCGCTTTGCAATGAACAAAAGCAGCGGTGGTGGGTGCAAACATCCACTTGTGCAGGTTGCTCGTGTAATAATCAGCGTCAAGTTCTGTCAGGTTCAATTCAAGGTTTCCAATGCCGTGTGCTCCATCAATGAAAATGTTCTCTACACCATAGCTGCGACAGAGCTTTATAAGTTGCCGTATTGGGAGTATCATTGTGGGCATGGAGACGATGTGGTCGAAGACCGCCATGCGAATTATGCTTGATGGATTCTCCTCTCTCTCCTCCTCCAATGCTTCTTCGAAGACTTGCAAAATCTGCTCCTCGGATGACACTGGAAAGGGAATCTGAACTTGAAAGATTCTTCCCCCAGCTCTTGCAGCATAAGCCTGCACGACGGATTCCAATCTTAGGTTTCATGACTTTCAATTCCTGCCCTTTGACAGAAACCTTTGGAATGAAAGCGAGACTTACAGAAACTCGGAACTGGAGGAAAAGAGCTTATAAAATCTCTGCTACCGTCCAGACCGTTGAGATTCGTGAAACGACTACAGAAAAGAGAGAGAAGACAAACATACTTGAAAAGACTTCTTCAAAGCTCCGTATGTGAAATTCAACATCAATATTGAGTCTCCCTTCTTATAACGACCTTCAGCGAAAGCCCACATGACATCCAATGCCACCATGGAAGCAGCTGCGGTTACATTTTCCAGAAGAAATACTTCTTCAACAGGTGCATTGACAAGGTCAGCAACCTCTTTCCTCGCGCGATACAACCCCTCCTCCAAAGGACCAAAGTAGCTTTTATCAGGCTGGCGTAACCAACAACGAGAGCAATTCTCTTGTGCAGCTAACACAGATTGTGGACAGCTTCCGAAGCTGCCATTGTTCAATCTTGCTAACCCTGGCTTGTGATGTGAAAATTCCTCCTCAATTGAAATGCTCAAATTCTTCCTGTCCACTACTCTTTTCGATTCAGCATCATCATCTTCCGCCGTATCGAGCAATTTTCCCGGAATTCCAGCTTTTCCTGCGGAGAGAAGCTCTGCAATTAGAAGGGCGGAATTGCCCTGGCAAACTCTTGATGGAGACAAAGATTCTCCGTTACAAAGCTCGCCGGGTGGACGCTTACCCTCTCCATATCCCGCTTCATCATCCTCCTCAGCTTTTCCTGCTTCATGATGCGCGGGTTCTGCTAGTGGTTGAGACCCACCGCCTTCATCAACTGCTTCAATAATTCCCCTCTTGATTTGCATTTTTTTTGCCACTTGTGCTCCTAATGCTTCCCTCCCCAAACCACACCCTCTCCGTCTCTCAAAACCCTGGCCCCCCCCTCCAATATTCCCACCATCCATACTCAACATGTCCAATTCCTCACTCTCCTCCGCATCCTCCATATCCTTTCCCCATGCGTTACATTTTGCAATCCGTCCCTCTATCATTGCGTCCCTCATCTTCATTGTGGCCTTGCTGTGTTTGTAATTCGCTATGTCTCTTGCTTGACAAACGATACTGCGAATTGCAGCAAGATGTCAGTACCTCTACGGAAATAAGAGTGATTCACAAAATTTGCCAAAATTCGCAGTTCGGCTTGGTGGCATAGCGGGCTGCCGCGATAGAGAATGAAACCACGGTCGCTGCAGCGGCATTTGCGCCCACCTTAATGCCGCGTGTGATACCTGAGACTCGTTCCTGCTGTAACTCAATACCTTACCCAGTTGGGTATCTGTTCGGGTGTCGTCGTTTACTGTACATGGTATCATACTTTTAGATGTGCCGTTCCGGACGATTCGGGACAGTCAAAGTCCTGATTCGGCACATGGTTGGGTTCAATGTAGACTGCACCAGCAAGCGGAGGTTGTTCTGAGCGTGACTACCGTTTCACATGTCGCTGCTCTAGGGGTTAGCTCACGTAAAAGTGCGGTTGCTATGGGCGACGCAGGAGAATACAGTAGTGGCCCTGATCGGCATGAGCTTGAGGCGTCGTTGATGCGACGACGTCCAGACAAGGGTCCGTTGGACGAGGATCAGATTTGGCGCACAATTGCAGGCATATCTGGTATGTGAAATTACTCTGGATTCCTCCAAAGAACTCGAGAAATTTATTTCATTTTGCGCATTCCCTTGGCTTCATGCGCTCTGTTCTCTGATGTCGTTTTTCGAAAGTCGGGTAAGTTTTCGCCATTCTAGCCTTAGTAGTATATTTACAGCTAGTCCCCAGAAACCCGAGTTATGGTTACCGCTTCGGATTTCTATGGATTTGTATTCTAGTAGCGAGGCCTAGAAGCAGAGTAAGAAGCAAAAAAATTTCATCCTAAAAGCTAGTGTAGCGATAATGTACAAGAAAAACCTGACTGCTCAATCATCTAGGTGGTACAGATGTGTCATTGACGAGGCTTGGAAGGTATCTAAAGCTATCGGATTTTTGTGAATGCTTGCACAGGGATTATGGCGGTAGGGCTGGGTGCATTTGGAACACACATGTTTAAACCAGTCAATCCTGCTAACAAAGTTGTGAGTATACACTGACTTCTCTCACTCCTTCGGCGACTATTTGCGCAATCCATATGTTGACAGGATTGCATTATATGTTCTTATATCTCTAATTGTGAGAACCAACAGACGATCTTATAACTTGGAGGGTATGGCAGGTGTGGGAGACGGCAAACCTCTATCACCTAGTCCACTCAGTGGCCCTTTTGGCAGTTCCTCTAACGAAGAGACCACGTGTATTTGGAAGTCTCTTAACCTTCGGGCTTGTAGCATTTTCTGGATCGTGAGTTTCTTTCACCTTTTATCACTCACGGATAGTGCTAGGAGGCAGTTGTGCTCAGAAACTCTGTTGATGTGGGTTGAAATCTTGCATGGTCATTGGGGAATCTCCGTTGCTTGTGAACATGGTGAATTCGAGTCCCTGACAAAAGCGTCTTCGTTGTGTCAGATGTTACTTTGCAGCATACTATGAGAACCGCAGCCTCTCGCTGCCAGCGCCTTTTGGAGGTTTTGGATTCATGGGAGCATGGGCTTCTTTACTGTTTTGAATGTGCATCATACAACGAGGAAAGCGACGAGGAGTTGCATTTCTTTAGAGTTACATATCTTAAAGAATTATGCTACTGAATAAAAATCAGTGGTCAGATTCGAGAATACGGCAGAAGATCGAGTTAAAAGATCTGCATCCTTATGGAATGGACTTGGGTTTGTTATTTAAATAAAGAGAAATTAGAATTGCCTATTTGTTGATAACATTGCCTTGCAAGGTAACTGTGTAATAAAAGATTAAATCTCAAATGGAATATGAAACTTGCCACAATAAGTTGCGAAATCGTGCTCAGCGAAGAGGCCGCAAGTATCACAACATTCCGAGGACAGATTTGGAGGTTGAAGGCTAATGCAGGCCATCTTCTCTGCGTTTTGCATACATGCCAGATTTGTTTGATATTTGGGTCTCATAACACTGATCGCCATCTGAGCTCGCAACCTACGCCTACTGTTGTTATAAACACAGTAAAGTTGTTGGGAACTTGCATCCAACGTCCAGGTATAATTAGATGAAGTCATTCAAAAGTTATAATTGATCATCCATCCTGCGTTGGAACCTTTCAATCGATTTGCAATTTTGAAGCACCTCGCTGAGTGCAGACCATGCATGCTTGATTTCATCCTGCATTAGAACCGTGTTTAGGGCTCCGTCAATGACCTTCAGAGCTTGGAAGCCTAGGTTTTACTAGCTAGGCTGTCTTCACAGTCTTGAAAGATTGAAGCGTGCGTTGTCGCTGCAAAGTTCCTCAACGGGATTACAATATTTAAATGGCGTCCTTGCTCTGGCATAAAGTTGCTGGGGTTTCTGGTATGTGGGCACAGCGCTACAAAGACATGATGAGGTAGTGTTAAATTTGGTTTGTTTTGTTGGGTACACTCAGATGACGATAAAACGATCAAATTAAGAGGAATTTTTTGTACCGCTTGAAGGGCTGTGTGCTTCCTGAATCTGTTAGAGAAAAATTACTTCTTGATTCCGCTGTAGATTTATACTTATTGTTCTTAAGGTTCTGCTTCGAGGGATTTTCTCTTTGTCGCAGATAGTCAAATTTGAAGTGAAGGCGCAATGTTGAACTCGTGCAGGGATGACAGCGTTAGCAGCGGGTACATATGGGGCGCACGGGTTCAAACCGGCTGATCCTGTTTACAAAACCGTTCGTTTATACTAAACTCATTTTAATGCGGAAGGCAATAGCAAATTATCTGTCTGTAACGACACCGTGACGGCAGATTTTAAGAATAAGGCAATTCTCGTGGTGCTTGCCATGCTTTGTTGCTCCATGAACATTTTGTAATGTGAGGAAGTGGCTATGGCAGGTTTATCAGACAGGGAACATCTATCACCTGGTCCATTCATCAGCCCTTCTCGCTGCTCCTCTTTCTAAGCGACCTAATTTGGTGAGTTCTCAATCAACCAATTCGTTTAGTGAATCCATTAGAAGTTGGCGCAACTTAGAATTTAAGGGCCGTACTTCAGAGATTACCCCAATGGCTGTCTTCTAAATACTCACAATAATGGTTGTGACTAAGTATACAGTATTTCCCTTTGCTGTTGTAGCACTCATGCTTTAATCATTCCCTGTCCAACTATGATCTAGCTCCTAAATTTCCTCCCCAAAGCGCACAATCCCATTCAGTTAACATTCGAACTTGAAATGCAGTTTGGAGGGCTCTGCTCTTTCGGGATTGTAACCTTCTCAGGAACGTAAGTTACCTTTACAAATCTTAGCGAGACACTTCCTTGAAGATGTAGTCTACATTTCTTAGGAGTAACGATTTTCACCATGAGTGGTCTTTCCTCTTGATTCTGCTTTGTCTCCATGTTGTGATGCTTCCTATTAGCTTCTGCTTTTTTTTAGTAAACTCGGTGCTACCTTGGATTTTGTGTGGTTGCATTGTCGTCTGTGACTGTGGATGTACATGAAGTTAATTATTCCAAATATCCTCGCCACAAACCTTTTGATTTGTTTTTGGTTACAGGTGTTATCTTGTGGCACTGAAAGAAGACCGCTCACTATCAAAGCCAGCTCCCGTGGGAGGTTTTGCATTTATTGCTGCTTGGGCTTCCCTGCTCTTTTGAGTGGGCATCATCCAAGGGAGTTGAAATGTATTGTAGGTTGCAAATCATCTATCTTTCGGAAACTTTCAAGCTCCAGAAATTTTTACATTCGACTCAAAACTAATTGGATTTGTGATTGGGACAGAGAGTGTTGACTTTCAATAAACATTTGACGCCTTTCTTACTTCTTATGTCACTCGTAGTTGGGAGATTGTGTTAGAAGTTTATTACATACTGCACATGTGATAATTTGGCAAAGTTTTAGCCGTGGTGAGATAACCTCATCATGGTAGTCAAGGAGAGGATGCAACTTACTGTCTAGATTTAGGAGTCTCGACATCAAGACTCCATATATGTTCGCTACGATGCGCACAGCAGGTTACAATGGAGACAAATTCCTATGTGGGTTGTCATAACCGCCGCCTGGGGTCGGTTTTAGAGATGAAGTGTTGATTCCCTGGTACACTCTTCTCACCAAGCCGAAAAGTTCACTTGTGTTATGTGTATTTGTACGATAAATGCTAGTGATCATTATTTCAGCAGTATGTCGATAGTCAAACTTCACAATGTTTTCTAGATATTCCTATGCCTTGCTTCTACTAAGAGTTGCTCGATATCACATGATAGCTTGGTCTGCTTAGCAGGACACCTCAAAAATTTGCAAGTCACAACCATGCTGCCATAATCTGGCTGGCTGGTTAGGCAGGAGCATGAATGAATGAAAGGTTCATAATATTTCTTATTGTCCTGAACCCTCCGACAATCAGAAAGTTGAATGTACACTGCCTTGATTGATGGCAGAGGGTTGTATTTAACAACTTGTCAACTAATTAAGACTGCGAGGATTACATAGTGAGCTTTTGGTTTTCATTTTATATGCTTCTGCAGTTGCAGTAGGTTGTCGTGCTTGTGGGTTGCCATCCCTAGAGCGGAGTTATTAAAAACTTGATGATCTGCATGTAGTGAACGAAGCGTGGACGGTTCTTGATTTAGCTCTATGCTGTGGCTTGTGTCTTGTAGCTTGTGTGTTGTAGCTTGTGAGGGACCTCGGCTTGGGTTGCACATCTGTTTCGAATGCTATCTTCTTCAGGTGTTCACAAATTGTGCAAACTTCAATTGCTTTTGAAACGCCATTGTTGACTTTCAATTGAACTGACGGATGAATTTGGATTGTGTTTATTCCCACACGTATGCGCATCGTCATTGAAATTGGATTTTATGTGAACCTGAAATATTTCATTGAGAATGGGGGTTATTTTACATGAAATAGGATTGGCAAACTGAGGCTGAGTGGGCAGGCCAGTGCAAGAGCGTGTTAACCCGCAGCATCTTTGTTAGAGTATTTTATGTAGGTGGGTACGGCTAATGCGAATGCTGCGTCTTCCGCCAGCCAGGTTTGCAGAGAAGATTTTACCTTAATTTGAAACTAGTGATTTATTCAACATACGGCACTAGGAATTATCCGAGGAGTCGACTTAGAAATTGGTCTAAATAGTAGATCAAGGATATCTTCCAATGGAAAGTACAAGGGAAAGGAAGTACAGCAAAAATTCAGGTGTTGCTAGAGCTTCCATGGAACCAGGTATTTGTGGTGGAAGGATTGATGGAGAGAATGTGATCGGCCGTGCAGTTGTCAACTTAGCAATTACTTGTGATTTTTCTTATTTGACCATCACTGAGAAACTCACCTGGTTGTGTAATACCTTTGTTTTTCTCTAAGTCCACATTGTCAAACATATGTATAATATGTGTCATACACTATGTACTAACTCTTTCAACATATTAAATGTACAGCTTGACAAGTTTAAAGAATTTTTTGAGAGCAGAAGCACAAAAGATCCCTGTCGTTCACGTTTACACTCAAACAATTTTTTTTTTTTTTTTTTTTTTTTGTATGTTGCAGTGAAAAAGTTCGGGGCATCCTTTAATGATTTAAGCAGGGTTCGTTATATGAGTTGTAGAAATGGCATTCGGAGTTCTGGAATTGTCGAAGAGAGTAACATTACAAATAGCTGAAATATTCCTGTATTAGTCAGTCTTTGATATGCTCTGGACACTGCTTCGATTGGATTGAAGAGTGAAAGTTGATGTTCAATGGCACTAAATGTGGTTTTATAACTGTCGGTAGTAGTGGTAAGGTCCCAATGATTCAGAATACCCATTGTAGGTTTGTTTGTTGTTTGTGGAACAGCTCTTTGTCATGTCAGACCCAATTCAGGGGTTTGCATTCCTCCTGTGGTTTGTTGACGAAGGAATTATTAACATAATAGTGAGTGCTTGCTGTGATACAGAGCCTGATCTGGATTTAAAGACAGTATCATCTATTCTATAACGGGATGAGTTCATGTACAAAAAGCTTCTTAGAAAGAGGTTCTTTACAAAACATAGTGCATACTTCTAAGTTTCTTTCCTAAATATTAATGTCAGTATACCTCATTGTTATGCAAATGTCTTGTAATTAATAATAAATTAATAAATTAAATTATAAATTTATATAAAAAAAAATAGAAGTGTTGTAATATATATGTATATGTATTAGCTTTATAGAAAATTATAAAATAATAAAATTATTTAGATTTTTATCTGAGAAGACATTAATAAGGTCTACCTATCTGCAAGAATTAACATAATATATTTAAATATTTTTTCTAGTTTAAATGAATTAAAAATGGTTAATTATATTATCTTTTATGGTTTAATTTGTATTTACATAATTTCCTTTAAGTAGGATTTATTCTTAATGCAACTTACTTATAACTTGAATAAATATAATTTAAAAGATTACATAATTTATATTAGTAGTCTGTAATAGAAGAAATATCTGATAATATGTATCATTAAATAATAAACATTCAATTTTTAAAGATTTTTTAGAAACATAGCTTTAATAATCTTTAATGTTTATGAAACTAAAACTAAGCAATCATAGCTTGTTAATTATCAGTAAAATCAAATTACTAGCTTTTTATGAACTTGCTTAATTCTTTACATCCAACATCTAAAGACTTGTTATGTACATAGAAACATTAGCATTTTATCTCATATCCATAAATTGTTTGAAATAATGTCCAAATGTTTTTTTGTAAACATTAATTGGTTACATCAAATTTTTTCAACTATGATTTTATTGATTTATGTAATACTGGATGTATATATATATATATATATATATATATATATATATATAAAATAAAATAAAAAACTTACAAGTAATATAGTTGTTGTTACTTGTTATTCCTACATATTTGACCTAAATTTAATATTTATATTTAGTCCTTAAAATTTATTACCAACCAATTTTTTAATTTTTTTTTATTGATAACCAATATACTATTGAGGTTTCAAATCATACATATTTAGATTTCTAATTATTAATCTTAATTTTATTATGCTTGTAATGCAATGTAGCACTACTATTTAGATTGTTTAGAAAATATCATATAGTATTTAAGCTTTAAAATATTATATTAAATTAAGAATAATTCACTACAATAACAATAATTTAAAATTATAAATAATTTTTTTATTACAAATTTTATTTGAATCATTATTGACACTATAATTTAATTTTTTAATAATCATAGTATGTTTAATCTTCATAATTTGTAAAGGACAATAAATATTGCATAGATGAGTGGAAATAGAAATGAAGATTTTTTGCAACTAGAAATTAAATATGTTAATTTCATAAAAAATAAAAAATCTAAAACATGTTCAATAATTTCTAATTTTTTATATAATAATATTTCAACTAACTTAAAACAATAAAAGAAAATAAATTCCTATTTAATGTAATTTCCCGAAGATATTTTATTAAAATAAAAAATAAAATAAGAATTTTGTATATTCCTTTTAATATCGTATATATATTTAAATTTAGTTTTTTAAATCTAAGCATAACATGAACTTCTAATCTAAGCATAACAAGTCAAAGTAACATTAATCTAAGCATAAGATAACATGAACTTCTAATCTGAATCAGTGCGATGGTAAATTAGGGCATTTCTATTCTCGCGCGATATTGAAACTAAAGTGACCACCATCCTTCTGCAGTAAGTTTGTAAAATGGGGTCCTCTATTCTTGCTCAGTCTTGAAACTAATGCCACAACTCTTTCCAGACCATGGAGCAGACCAATGCATGGGGGTTGTCTGTCAGCGCACAAAACAACAACAATTACAACAACCGTGAGGAAGTAGCACAGGAACCTCCACACCCAATGCAGAAGCCTTCGACATGTGTACGTGGCTTATATCAAGCACTGCCGAACACGTGGACACAGCATGAATATCCATCTCTTTCTCCATGTCCCCTCTGTATATTCACATGTGGGAAGTGGAATTGGCTACTCATGGATGGACCTCAAACCTGGTTTTTATGAGAATCGACGAGCCCTTGTCATTGCATTTAGAATCAGTAGCCGAGGCCCAATCACTCTCCTCCAATTGAGCGCTGCTGCACCAGCTTGTCAGCGAAGGACGTTGGAGGAATTGGTCTGTGGCCTATGTTTAGACACATGGAAGATCCTGCAACCCTCGCGGCAACAGTCCTCCACAGTTACTCGAGCTGGGGCTTTACTTATTTGTGATAGGGATTGAGTGAGTTATCTATACTTTTGCCGTGAGATTGTAACAGAATCACTGAGACATGGTTTGGAATCGCCGTTCATGGTTGCAGGGATGTAGTTGTCGTTGAAACGCAGAGAGATTAGAGTTGCATGTTTTCTCCGAATTCCCACGACTTCCATGTGATTTTTCTAGTGATTTTCCTCCAGTCAAGAAAGGCAACCCAAGCATTAAGTCTGCCGGGAAAAACCAAATAACCTTTACGTACGTATTGCATGTGCCTGTGGAGTCGCTGCCGATTCGTAACACTCTCCAAGCCCCACCAGCAAAGTGTCAAAGTGGCAAATGGCTCACTTTGTAAGCTTTGCTTTGTTACTTTTACGAATGTGTTAAAATCTACCGGAAGTCACATGCCACACACACTCCAATTATGCAGACATGATTGATTTCGAGATTTGGGAATCACGCATCCTTCTGGAATCTTGTATCCTTTTGTGATGCCATAACCTGCGTGTGATTCAGTCCAGCGTTTCCCAACAAGCGACTGTAGGACCTAGATCTTGGTGGATCGAGGATGCGAAAGATAAGAAGTGATCGCGTCCTACCCCATGTAACTGTCAGTGTGCCGTGTACGTGATGCGTGTTGGTGGGATTACCAAAGGATTCTGGTGTCCCTTGGAATCCGAAAGGCTGATCGTTCACCACCTCCGAACAAACAATCGCATGCTGAGGCGGGTTGCGTTCTAGTAGACATTTCGCCGATCGTGGACAAGCCTACAAAGCACCTACACAGAATCACTTAAGAATATTCCTGCGCGTGGGTTACAATTGCTGTGGGCACGAATTGGAGCAACCTCCCGTTCTGTGGTGAGCTGTGCCCTTGTCGTTCATTTGTTGTCTGAAAGTAAAAAAAAAATGAAAAGGATTCACTCGAGATTGTGCGGGAGGGAGTGCGATCAGAAACCCATGGAATAGGACTCTGCGTGCGACATTCGATTCGAAGCCGAGAACCTGAAAAAGAACGGGCTGGAGAGGTTAGAACTGGAAAAGGGGATCTTGAAGGAGGCGAATCGTTTGGAGTTTGCAAGTGAATAGAGATTCGCGCCATGCGACCGACGCGCAGCGGATGTCTCTAGATGTGTGAACGGACTGTTAATGAATCTCGAGCGGGATTAACTGTAGCAACCCGGTCCCACTGTTGCTACTCTGCATCTGCTCAAGCGGTTTCCGGAGGCCACTTCGGTCGCTACTTTCTAAATTAGTCACACGGTTTTCCTTTTGTCGTACGCTGCATGCTATAGAAGTTGCCGATCAACCTTCCTTTCAGAGGAGTGCGGGCTATTCGACGGCTGCTGTTTCGTTTAACCACCTAATATTGCTGCTGGGACAGAATTGAGCTTGGAAACACACCTGTTTACATATGAGCAGTTTTGAAGTGGGCGTGGCAGTGCGCTGGAATCGATGATCGTTTTGGGAAAGAAAACACCATGTCATTTTTTCTTTGTATTAGTTATCCTCAGTCGTGGTGAGGATCCGCGGTGGTGGTAGTGAAAGTAAGGTGGTTGAAGTCGAGACACAGAGACGTGAGCAAGTGCGAGGGACGCACTTCTAGTACGCGGATTTTAGCTTGTATCTCTGCATGTTTGCGTTGAGGGTCTTCAGGTATTTCATTTCAGTGAACAATCAATAGAAATGATTGCAAGCACGCGAGGAATGTGGCGATGAACTGAATGGTAGTTTATGCACTCTTTAGTGCGCTTTTTCAAGTGGGGAATGTGTGCAAGATCAGAACAGTGGGTTGAGGATGGGTGAACTAGCTGGACTGAAGATTGTGTGAGGTCTTGTGTTAGGGTAGCCGTTATTTTTGTCCTCCCCTCTTTTTAAAGAGATTTGTCGAGAGAGAGACGAAATCTCTTGGAATTGATTAGACCTCGATTTTTTCTTTGGGTTGGACCCAACCAGCCATGGCCTTGGCACTACATTGGAGTAGGTCACTTCAATTTGGTACATGCAATGCAGTATCTAGAGACTTTCTTCCTGTCCACGAGAGTTGGTTTTTGCGGGGATCACGTCGTCCTGTCAGTGTTGATTCACCAGCATCGATGCGAACACTCTGCATTGTCCCTACAACTCCCTCTGATCTTTTGAAATCCAGTATGAATTCATCCGCACATCTTTCGCGGATTGCATCGGGTCGATTTGGCATCGATTATGCTCTGGCCTGTCGTCATTCTCCGAACCTCAAGGTAGATAGATTACTAAAGAAACAAAGAACTGTGTATGAGGCGGCAGCTTCCAGCGCGTCTTCTTCATCTGGAGCGCAGGGAGATTTTGACTGTGTCACTTTTCTAGGTAGAGAATTCCTGCTGAAGGACGTACAATTCGTTTCCGCGGCTGTAGCCACAGTTCTTTTGGCATGCACCAACAAAATTCTGTACAAAATGGCTCTTGTACCTCTAAGTAGATATTCTTTATTTTTGGCACAATTCAACACATTCACGTATGTGGTCGCTTATTCATCGTTACTCCTCATGCGTTACCGGGCCGGGATAGTCACGAAGGAGATGCTCGCTATTCCGAAGGCAAGATTTGTAATGATCGGTGCCTTGGAAGCCTTAGGCATCGCCATGAGTATGTCGGCTGCTGCAGTTCTTCCCGGTGCAACCATCCCAGTTTTGGCTCAGGTATTTTACAAATCAGCAAGTTGAGTGCACACATGTTAGTATCCTTTTTTCTGCTAAGGTTAATGATAACATTTTGCCGACGCTACCATGCTTTGAATAGTATTGGTGAAGTCTTAGTAGGAATGAAGCCTCACCACTTTTTAACATCCAGATCTAACAGCAGATGTAACCTTATTTCAGGTGTTTCTAGTGTGGCAACTTCTCCTTTCGTCAACAATTTTAAGAAAGCGCTATACATTTGGGCAAGTTGGAGGATGCTTGCTGGTGATTGCTGGTGTTGTGGTCGTGGTTGCAAGTGGATCGGGAGGAGTTGGCGTGGGCACATTACAGCAGTCTGGCTATTTCTGGCCTATTGTAATGATAGTCTCCACACTGTTCTTCGCAGCTTCGTCAATTTTGAAGGAGCTTGTGTTCCGAGATGGTGCCAAACAATTGAAAGGAGGTAATCTGGACCTCTTCGTGGTGAACACATTTGGATCATTTTTCCAATCAATTTTCGTCTCGATCATCCTTCCAGTGGTGTTCAATGCTCGAGGAATACCTTTCCATCAGATTCCACAGAGTCTCAAAGAAGGCTATATGTGTTTTTTCAACCTTGGTTCCGGAGTCAGTGGCTGTGAAGGCGCTCCTCTTGTTCCTCTTCTGTATGTCGTAGTAAACATGGCTTTCAACATCAGTTCCCTTAGTTTGCTGAAACACTACTCCGCCATAGTCTCCTCTCTCTGTGTAACACTGTCGATCCCCCTTGCAATTTGGGCTTTCACTCTACCGTGGCCTTACTTGGGAGTCCCACCAACTTTACCGTCTGGTTTTTTCCTAGGTGCGGCCATTCTTGTAACGGGCCTTGCCACGTACAGCTTATCAAAACCTGCCGAGCAGGAGGTCCACCGGGATTAGAGTTAGTCCTTTGATGTAACGGCCAGGTACTAGACGCGGGTGGATAGTTAGAATCTCACTGATTCTCCACCACTGCGTATTGAACCGGTGGAGAACATGGCAATCACAAAGTGGAGGCTGTGGAGCGTGTGGGTGGATTTCGGGTTCATTTCGTGATCTCAATACTTGTAGAGGGGGTTTAGCTCCTATTTCTTTGCGGCATTCTTCAAGCAGCAAGGACTAGGCTGCCGACTTCAAACTCGCCGACATGATGTCTGTAACGTATTTGTGCATGTGTGAAGATTGGAGCGATGAAGACAAATATTAGCTTTTGTGAACTTGAATAGAGTGGCATTTAGTTAGAACCGAGGTGATTGGGATCTGCTAAGGTGACAGCACCAGCCCTCAGTCTCCACAAGACGTCGTTTCCTGAATGTCGTTAGGTTTGTTTCTGTAGAGATTCTTAGTGAAAGTAGTTTTATGAAGTTTTCAGATGAGAGTATGTTTAGAATATTCCGGCGATATGAACCCACATCTACAGTACTTATGGTTCGTGTCTGTTGGAATTATTGCTACAGAACATTGTTGCTACATTTGTGTCTGAAGCAGAACACTCTCGTCGGTTCTTCACTTTTAGCAGAATCGTAAACTTCATCGAATGTTTTGAAGATTAGATTTACACTGAGCTGAAAATTTTCAAAAGTGGACGTTTAGTAATTCAAATCTGTTGTGTAACAGCTTTCGATTTCTTTGAATTGCAGTCATGTTTTGGTCATGAAAGGGATGTGATGTGTGTCGTATGTTGCCAACCACATTCTAATTGTAGTGAAGAAGAGTTATGAAGCACCCATTTCAAGCAAGTATTAATATTTGAGGCTTTATGATTCCTGACATTTGCAACATGTATTTGGATGTCTCTTTCAAGTCAAATTTGTATGTCTTTCAAATATTGGACTATATATAATGATTTATGACATATTTCACAAATCTTATTAAGTTATTTGTAGAAATTAGAATATCAATGGATAGAAATATACTTGCATAAGGAATATATATGATCCAATCTCTTTATTGTCAATTTGGTCTTTATTTCATAATCTTTTCTTTAATATTCTAAAACTTTTATTGAACAAAAGATCAAAAATGTCCAATGTATGCACTATCTAATATGAATGCTCCATGATATGGTTTTAGTACTTGCTATTTTGTATTTACAAATATAGAAGATTTTTTATAAAGTTAATTTTTTATTTTATTTTTATAGACTATTTTGTTTGTTTGTTTGTTTTTTTCCCTAAACAGTGCATTCTTTGAAAGATTTCAATATAGATATCTTTAACGTTTCTTAAGAAGATATCTTTAAATTTACTTACTTTAATTTCTATCTAATTTTTCTTATTTTTTAAATTATCAATGCTATTGTTGATGTTTTTGACATTTCTCTTCTTTATAAGAATAAGTTCCACAAAGAGCAGTAATCATATATTAAAAAAGTAAAAAATACAAAAAAATTATATTAATTATCTACTTTGTTTTTGTTTTCTTTGAAGGTAATTGATAGATCCTTTCAACCATCAATAGTGTCTCATACCAAGATACAAAGACCACCTTGTTAGTTTGATCATCATTAAGGCTTTTATAATTTTCCTTAAATAATATATATGGAATACCATTGAATGTGGTTCTTACTTCCAATAGTATCACCAAATATCAAAGGTCTCTTATAATGTTGTGATACCAAATGCATTATATATTGCCATCTATTCAAGAAAGAATATGTTATTATTGAAGGTCTTAATTTTTATTATTACATCTTGAAGCTTGTGAGAATCTCAATGCCTCATCTAATATTGTATTATGTGAAAATCACCTGGAGAATGCACTAGGCATTTGATTGTGGAAGCATTTGATCTGACATTGATGTTGGATTTATAACCTAATACAATACAAAAGGTCTTTAGAAATATTCTTTGGCAAGCTTGAACAATCTAAGTAAGCTCCTAATTATTCTAAGTACATTCTATCAATCTTAAAAGAATCCTAGATATATCTTATCATGCTTTAATTAATTCCAAATAATTCTTAAAAATCTTTAACAAACTTTAATAAAATCTTAATCAAATTATAATTAAATTCTATTTATATTCTAATAAATCCTAATTAAATCCTAATTAAATCTTACTTGACAAATTTTAGTTAGATAATAATTAAATTCCAACAAATCATAATCAAATTCTAAAAAAATCATAATCAAATCTTAACAAATCTTAGTCAAATCCTAATAAAATCCTAATAAAAACTTATTTTAAATCAAAATTAAATCATAATAAATTATAATTAAATATTAATAAATTATAATAAAATATTGGAATAAATTTTAAAATATCCTAATTAATTCTAAATAATAATAATAAAATCCTAATAAAAACCTTAAAAATAATCTTAATCAAATTTTAACCAATTTTAACCAACTCTAATCAAATTTTATAATAGATTCAAAATCTCAATAACTAATAAATTAATTACTAATCTAGGCTATTTTTTAATTTTAATTTTAATTTTTTATTTCTCAATCTTTTAGTTTACAAAAATTACAAATAATTTGAAGAAAATTCAACTTATTAATTAAAAAAACTCATAATTTGCTGAGATGTTGGCCAACCTCCTTTTTAAACCTTGACTCAAGCTCTTAGTACCATTATCTTTCTTTTTCATTGTTTAATTGATTTTTTTAAATACTATAAATAAATTCTATTAATAGTTTATTAAATTTCACTTTAATTCAACCAATAATTTATTACAAATCTTAAAAAATCTTATTGGCCCTAAAACTCCAATTTTTAAGATCTTTACTTACTTAAAATTTGATAACCTTTAATCTAATCATTTGATCAAATTAAAATCTAGAATATAAATTTAATAAAACATTTCTTTCTTAGATTAGCTATCAAAGTTATAAAATTTTCTAAAATATAAACCTTTTTTATTTCAAAAAAATTAAAGTCATTCAAAACAACCATGATTTTGTAAAGCTCTTAAAAAGCCATTATAAACTTAAATCATTTAAAATCTACATTGAAAGAAGTCTTCCTTAGTGTAACCTCAAACCTTGTTTTTTAATTAACAAAAGAACCTTGAAGTTGCTATAGGTGTGCAATTTTGTGCTTAAGAAAATGGATTTGACTTAGGTTAAAAATTGATCTTCTTTCGATATCCACATGTAGTTTTTTTTAGATAATTTTTGTTAAAAGCTATTATCCACTTCTATTTCAAAATATTCATAATATTAATTTTGCTAATCCACCTTGTTTTTTCTTATTAAGAGTCATATAAAATAAATAAAAGCTCTTTTTACAAAAGTTTTTAATAATTATTAATTTTATAACTTCATTAATCATTATCTATATTTCTAAGATAATTTTTTACTATATTTTAAAATAATATCTTTAATAATATAATACTTTATTTCTATTTTATCCGAGAGCTGTATTACAAGATAATACTAATAACTTAGAAAAAGATAGCTTTTTTGTTGAATCTATTGGTTGTTGATTCTTTATTTCTTTAACACCAAAAATATAAAAGAACCATAATTAAATATAAAAAATGTAATACAATTTTTATTTAACTTGTTTTGATTTATAGAAAAGAATTTTTTTATCTCTTCATTTTGGTCTTAATAGATGTTGTCAATAAAAAAAACATCAACTTTTTCTATTGCATTTATATGATACTTTGATGGCTCTCATGTACATTCACTAATATTGAATTTGTACTATTGTGAAAAGAATTCCAACCTATCTCAGTACTACCTTGAATCCATCTTGAATTCTTGCTTATTTTCCACTTTTGGAAAATGATGCAAAATTTGTTTTTTGTTTTTGTTTTTGTTTTTGTTTTTTTTTATATTCTATTTTCTTATATGACTGAAGAAAAGACACATAATATACATGATAGATCTTCATAAATCCTAAAAGGTATAATTAATATGTAATTAGATTGATCTATTTAAAAATAAGATATAATCCAAATATGTGATAATCTAACTTTTCATAAAAAAAATAATCTTGATATTATGACAAAGTAATTACATTTTATTTTCAATAAAAAATCAAGGTTGTTCCTAGCAATAAATATTTGTGTTAATCTTTTATTGTTCTTGAATTTTAATTAATTATACCTTTATTGTTGCATATTGCTTTAATAAAAAAATTATCAAATCTTTTGTCATACAATTATTAATTTTTGAAAAGTCAAAAGTATCAAGATATGGATGATAACTATAATTAATATTCAAAGGTGATTTTTAATAAAAGAATGTACCTTGTTATTATAGACAAACTTTACAAATAATAAAGTAATTTTTTAATCATTTTAATGGTAATTTGATGGAATATCTTAAAAAATTGCTTTGATGTTTGATTCTCCCATTTTGTTTGTCCATCAATTTGAAGATGAAATATTGAAGATAGTTTTACATTGACCTTTAATATTTTAAAAATAATTTTCTAAAACCTAGATACAAATTAAGCTCCTCTATCTATTGTAATATTCCTTAGCAATCTATGATGGCAATAAATATTATCAATTTTTTTTTTAAATTTTTTTATTTGTGATATTTTTTTATATAGTAAAAAATATATTATTTTAATTAAATAATCTACTATCACAAGTATAGAAATATAAGAACTTAAGATTGAAAGATTTGTGATAAAATCTATAGAAGAGTAAAAAGATTTACTTATATATTTGACAAAAATCTATAGAAGTGTTGTTTTTTTAATTAATAAGTTATAATAATTTTAATTTTTGACAAAACCATGCTTCAACATGCTTGGTAACGACTCCAATTACACATTGACATAAAATACTTGAGATTCTAGTAATTTTTATAATCAATGAGTAAAATAGAAGAACCTTTTACATAATGACGCTATTCTTTAAATGAATCTATAATTGCAATAAATAATTTCTTGTGGATCTTGAAATTGGCTTGACTATTAAAACTTTTCTTAAATGAGAAGCTACAGAGTGAAGTTTTTTATTTGCTCCTATTTGTGATAACATTACATTCAAGGAAAAATATAATATATTAATTTTTATAATTTAAAAAAAAATCAAAGACATAAAAAATTAATATTATAATAAAGACTATCTTTGAAGTTTAAATATATTACTTTGGCTTCTTTATTCTACTTAAGCTTATCCTTAAAAATTAAACATATAAGTATAGCTATATCTTGAGAAAAATTCTTGATAAAGATTCAATAGTAATTGAAAAATTCTAAAAAAACTTTAGATGTTTCTTATTATTTTTTAAATCTTCTAATCTTTGATAGATTAAAATTCTATAATATCTATTATAATCCATTATTTGAAATGATACATCTTAAGAAATCAACTTGAGTTGTGTAAATTTTATACTTCTCTATCTTGGTATATAATCCCACTTCTTTAAATCTTTGTAATACTAAAAAAAATATATAGTTTATATTTTTTATATTTTTAGAATATATTAAAATATAATCAAAATAAAAAACAATAAAATCATCTGAATTTTTTTAATAACATCATTTATTACATGTTAAAAAGTAGCTAGTGCATTTGCAAGCTCAAAAGACATGACATTATATTCATAATGCCTATATTTAATTTAAAATGTATTCTTTTATTCATCTTTTTTTTTTATTTTTTTTTATTTTTTTTATGCATACCATGTGAATACTCTTTGTAAATAAATTTTTATATAGATTTT